GGGAAGACCGAGGGAAAGGGAAGCGGCGCGCTCTACAGTGGGGGGCGAATTATATGTGGTGAGATTGGGCGTTCTGGGGACCTCGTTCGAGGCGACAATCAGAACCTGTCATTGGCACTGTCGCCATTCATGTTAACCGCATTCCCTCTTTCATTGACATGAACTTCCATGGGGCACGTCGAGCCAGGATTGTGCACCAGATAACCGCGAAGAGCGGTCTTTCAAGAACTGTCAGCTTCCCAAAGCGCCAGGGCGCTGATCATGACGACGCCGAATAGACAAGAGATTGTTCATTTCGGATAGCTTTGACCTCGACAAGACATGACGGTCGGGACTGGGAGGCGACACTGGCGGTTGGCTTTACAGGCCGCGTGGGAAGACACGGCCCGGCAGTCCCGTGCGGCACGAACCGGCAGATGCATACACGGAGGACCTCGGTCTCGTCCTTCATCGCGGTTATACCGAGCCCTCTCCCCGTCATACAATGAAGCTTGTATTCACCCGACATGAACATTCTCTCAAGATGATAGCATGAACGTCATAACTTAGGACAGTATCTGAAGCTCATCCACGTTCTGCGCTTGTTCTGAGCGTCGACGGCTCGCCACACCGACCATGGTCACGACGGACTTCGAAGTTTCCCTAACTACCAACATTCCCTTCAATTCTAGGCATTGCATCTCTTTTTGCTCGACCACTTACAAGAAGGCCGTCTAAAGGGTCTTTCTAACCTTGTCCGTCAGCCAACCCCTTGATCTTCAAAGAGACGCAAACACTTCGTTGTGGTTGTTGCCAGAAGTTCTCTCTGGAGTATAAGAACGCGCAAAGGCAAATGGTGAGATCCTCAGCAGTGCCATAAGTCGTCGCCACTTCGGCTTTCCTTCCTTCTCCCTCGCCAAGTCACAGCCAACGCAACCCCTCATGTCCGCACCGCCCGTCGATCTATATGTGCAATGTGCACCTAGCGTACTCGTTCAGTCCTTCAAGAACGGGACTCACGAAGTGAAATTGCGCAACAGTGACTATGCACTCATCATCTTGAACTGGATTGGCATCAACATCCAACTACTCGACCTCGCCGCAAAGCAGGACGACCTCTCATTGCCCGTGAGCAAGCTCGTGCTCCATGGCGTCTGTTACGACGCCTGCTCGCAGTGGGGTCCGCCCCGACCTGAGAGCAGCACCTATCTACAGAAAGTCATACACCTCCCTTACGCGGTCGACCTCATCATCGACGAATGTTTGGCGGCTTATGTGTACGTTGTACCCTGGCTGGAGCCACACATGGAACGCCTTCGCTACATGGACTTGACTATCTGCGAACACGACTGTTGTGCTGTTCCCAACCCAAACGAGTGCTTGACACAGTTCGGTGTCTGGTACGAGATTCTTCTAGACGCAACCATCAAGAGGAAGAAGGCATACGGCAATACAAAAATCACACATGTCTCCATGGAGTACGCACATTCGGAGGTGGGGCAACTATGCTGCCACGGGACTCTAGTTATCGGATGGTCGGACGGGATAACCTGGACGCTGAGGTACTCAGGCGAGACTGCCGCGGGGGTGCTCCGGTTCATCCGCGACGGTGTATTTCTGTACTTCCGGACGAAAGCGTCACGATATGATGGCGGGGTGTCGATCCAGTGGAAGTTGAGGTGGGTGCCCGAAAGAGAAAAGGAGCCGATGACGGAGACTTGTAAGAACCAGGTCGAGTGGGAGAGGGAGTTGAAGAAGAGGTTCTTGCAACCTCCTCGCGCGTCGCCTGGCCCGCCGACTACGTTGGGGCCTTGATCGACTTCGCTGTGACGTCTCTCGGCCATCTAAGTCTCTCATTGTCCATTGGACTCCAGTACCTAGTTTGATTCAATAATATCTCCCGTTGCATACTTACGAGAGAGATGTGAGGTAGACCCTAGCGACGTAGTTGAGCAGATTGAGGTCAGTCTCGATGCGCATACAGCACGATTGGGTGAGATCGTAGCAGCGCAGGGTCGCAAGGTCAGCCATAGACCACCGCCAAGACGATGATCGTATCCACTAGCATTAGTCTTTGGGCGTTTGAGGGTGTAGGTCTACAACCGTCATAGTCATCGAAAGTCTACCAAAGCGCTCGGGATATGCCATAAGACCATCAAGCCTTGTCGAGCGGTCAAAGCAGAACACTCCCTGAAACAGCGCTCGTGCTGAGCGGTATAGTCTTGCCGCGTGTGCTGTAAAGCCATACAGCTGCTCTCCACTCCCGTGCGTATTCCGATTTTTAATTCATCAGGATGGACTCGCGAGTTCTGTTCATGCAGTTTGTTCGCGCGAGACCGTCTATGACATTGACGAGGTCCAGTCTCAGAACGCACGCACTGTAGGGTTGGTGACGTATGACAATGTTACCCCGAGCGAAGGTCAGACTATCCCGTCCTTTGCGACCATGAGAGCAAAGAGCTCGGAGCCGTCGTCGAAGTTCCGGGAGTACAAGAGTCGGATGTCGAGATGGGACGCTTGAGTCAGTGTCATGACAGAGATGAGCTCGCTGAAAAGCTTTGAAGAGCTGATAAGTCGATTCTGTATATGAAATTTCCGCTGTTGAGAGGCCCGCGCGCGGAGAGCATGGCGGCGCTTGAGCCTCTGTCGTGGTTGAGTTCAAGCTCGCCTGAAGGAATCCCGAGTAATGTCCCCACGGCTTGCGCGAGGTTCGAATCTCCGCTTCATCAACGCATCGACCGAGTGTGAGAACTGAGTACTTATTATGACGGGTGATTCGCCTATATCGACTATCTGGTTCGAGTTTAATCGGTGTAAATGTATAACGAGAAGCAACAACACCACTCTATCAGTAAAGGTGATTCCTTAGTAATACGAGCATTAATGGGGTAGTGGTAACCTGGGTCGTTGCCATCGACCCGCCGGGGGTTCGATTCCCCCTTAATGCAACAGACCTTAAGGAAACGCACTTTTTTGTGCCATTGTGTGCGTAATGTGACGATCCTTGCACGGCGTTCCTACTGGCGTTCAAACGTTTACCAATGGTATACCAGAGAAACCTCGAGACATTTGTCCCAACAGTGTATAGTGCACGTTTTATCACACTCTGTCATGGAGCTCGTGTACGTGACCGCATTATCCCAACATTCAATCCTACAATACATATACATAATGACCATCTCCCAGCTGCACAAGGTCACGCCTCCTCCCTCGACGTCCGCGGGGAAGTCGTCCTCGAAGGTGGCGCAGGCGCCGCTCTCGGTGCTTTCTCATCCAGCGACACAGGCGACAGTGGCCTCTCGTCCTCGCCCATAGACGCAGACGCCGATGTTGACGGCGAACACGGCGCAGACGGTGGCGGCGGATGCATTTGCTCGACCGGCACGAACCGCACGGCAACTTCTTTCACATCTTTCCTCGCCTCCTTAATCGCACCTGCGATACTTTCCTCCAAGTGTGCCAACGTACCCGCACTGACCTCCGGCCTGACCCTCGCGTTCAGGTCCACGAACAGATGCGATCCTGCCCTGCGCGCACGAAGGCTGTCTACGCCCAGTATGGACTGCGCGTGCGTCAATGAGTCAAGCGAGCGTTCGAGCGTTCGGAGCGTAGGTGCCGAAGCGGACGCGTCGGTGATCTCCTTGAATGCGCCAGCGAAGATCTGTGCGCCCTGACGGATGATGACGGCGCTCACGACGAGACCTATAGAAAAAAGTCACGTGTGCGTGAGCCTCCGAGGTACAGAAACGATAAAACGTGCGAGGGACGACGGGCGAGCAATACACTACGACCAATGGGGAGGGTGATATTGGGATAGGATAGAGGAACAGGAACACACCTCCGATCGGATCGAGCGGTAAAGCGGGGAAGAACGTGCTGCCCAAAATAGCGACGAGCGCGACGGCGCTCGAGTACGCGTCCGAGCGGTGGTGGTACGCGTTGGCCATCAGCACCGGCGAGCTCTCCTCCGTCGCGACTTTGCGCGTGATCCTGAACAGCCACTCTTTCGCTACGACGCTGACGGCTGCGAACCAGGCTGCGTTAGGGTCCAGGACGCCTGCGGCGGTGGTGGTGGGGGCGTGGGTGTGGCCGCCGCCGACTACGGCGGGGATGTTGTGTACGATGGACGTCGCGTTTTCGAGCGCGGCTTGGACGGGTCCCGCTGGAAGCGCTTGTGCTGTCTCTGCGAGAGCGTGCAATAGCAGTTGCAAGCTGTGCGCGCCGATGCCGAGTCCGCCGGAGAGTAGGAGCAGCGCGACGACGGTCGTCCCGAACGTCTCAAACTTGGCCAACCCATACGGATATCGCGCACTACTCGGTCTCCTCGAAAGTCTCCACGAGAAAAGCACCACGAAATCGCCGAGTAAATCCGAGAG